ATAATGTGGAAACACTGAAATTCCAGAATAGTGGAAGAGAAGAAAATATTAAAAAACAGGGAAACCAGGTCCTCTCGTTCCATGTCAAGGAATATATTTGACTTTTCTGATGTGCTGCTAAGTTTTCTGTCACCTGCATAATCAAGACAAGGTTGTGTCAGTTCTCAGCACGGTAACACCACTAAGTCTGGATGGGATTCTGGGACGAAAAAAGAAGGGACTTTCCTAATCACAGGAATTTTTCCTTACTACTAAGATTTCCTTTAACTAACAACAGTGTCTCATATATCTAGTGGGAAATTTTAGATAGTCTAAATATAGCAGGAGTTAATGCCTGTTTCACCTATGTTTTTCTGCTTCTAATGCATCATAAATATTAACTTTCACTCAGCAGTGGAAGTTTCTGCACTGTAAAGTCTCTCGTGACTGAAACTTTGCAAATTCAGTCTCAAACTAAACAGCCAAGCACAGTTAACTATTTTACAGTTATATAAAGCATGTGGGCTCATTTAAACTTTGTGCTCATTTAAATGGATGAAGATAGAAACTTGGCTTAGCTTTTCATCCTTGAAGGAAAACCAAATACAAATATGGAAAACAATGGTTGTTTCAAAACTGAGCTATCTGCATTTTTGCATATTGGTGTTAGATTACTATACTTTTTCACTGTATTTAAAGCTTGTGTTGAAAATACTTTTACACCAAAAAAAGAGATTGCTTTTTTACAGTATTACTTGTTATTCGGGCATTTATTAGAAACTCCCTTAATTGGAGAAGCAGTAGTTAGCAATTTACGTTACTGACCCTGAAGTTAAAACTGAGTTAATTACACCCACCTTATTAATAACTCAAATAAAGAGAGCTCAGTAAAACATTGCTATTTAAAGAACCAAACTTTCCTTTTGTTTTAGTCTTCTGTAGATCACAGAGCTTTGGTTTATGTGGCTTTTTGTTCCTCAAGGACATTTGAGATAGGAGAGCACTTCAAAAAAAATCAGTGTCACTTTAGGAGAGATAATTTCTCTTTGCTACAACTTTAGTGGCACTTTTCCCTGTCTCATTTGCTTTTTAGAGAAGGAAAGAAAAGTTTTTGCTTGCCTTTTTTCCATTCTTCAGAATTATTTAGTGATCACAGGAAGTTTAAAATTTATGAGGAGTACAAGATTATCTGTTAAATCCATACTTAGGTGGGATATGAAGCTCTAGTTTTTAGAATTTCTTTGCTATTAAATACCTCATTATTTAATTGTAATGTATATGGCTTTTAGGCCATACTCACACATTGTTTTTGCTTCCAGATTTTGCTCTGTGACCTGGGGCAAATCACTTAACCTCTCTGTGCTCCCACTTACTCATCTGCAAAATGGGCAAAATAGAATTAACCTAATAAAGATTCACATTTGTCTTGTGCATTATCGTTAATGGGGATGTGAATCATAATGGTGGAGTGCTTTGATGTCCCCAGATGATGCTGTAATCATGAAACTATTATTTTATATTTGGGCAAAATAGTTGAAAATGGATCTGCATAAACTATGCAGGAATAAACTATATGTCTAAATAATTGAATGCAGTTGTTAAGCTGCTAGTGGCCCATGAAGAGATTGTGAAGCTGTTCCTATGTACAGATACCTCACAGCTTGGTTTTTGCTGAATTTGGCTGTTCCACCTAACTTTTATATTAATAGGGCCTAAATCAGACCTAAAGTTCTTTTGTTCCTCATCATTGATTTTCTTTAGCAGCATTAAAAAGTTTTCAGTTTATGTCATTTGAACATAGACCCCTGGTGGAATAAAGGGCCAGAGAGAAAGGGCAGTGTGATTTGAGGAGGGGACAGCAGCAAGAAGATTATGATGCTGTAATCGTCATGCTCCATGCTGAGGTTTTCCTCTTTTGGACACTGTAAGCTCCTACAGAAAGCTCTAGGGGTAGTAAAAGCACCTGACAGGAACAAAATCTGCTGCCCTTCATTTCTAAGTGAGCACCACCTCCAAACCTAGCTGTTGCCTTTTCACTTCCTTGTTTCTTTGTGTCCTGACAGCAATCAGTGAAGGAGTTTCATATAATATTAGCTGACGATCATGAGCTTATGTTGTGTGTTTCTAACCTATAGTATACTTTGAAGAAGAAATCCTTGATGTGCAAGTTTGAGTCACTGTCAGCTGTGCTGCCAGAGATGTAGCCTGCTTCCAGGCATTGCTTCACTGCCGGAGTCTTGTATTTCTCCTAGCAAAGCTGGGACCTCTGCCAGATGCTGAATTCCTCATGGCCCCAGCTACACAGAGGGCAATGATTTTTTATAAAGACACCAATAGAAATGTTGTGAAACTCTGTATTACCACTGGGATATAGTCTGGAGTCATTCTGGATCTCAGGAGTGTGAATCCACATCAGAGGGAATCCTTCAGGTTCTCCTCCAAAATAATGACTATAGTTATGCATTAAAATATCATGAACATAAGCAAAGTCTTATTCTTGTGTTGACTATTAGATAAAAAGCCTGTGCGTATTTCAATGCCAACACTTTTTTTTTTTTTTTTTTTTTTTCACTTAAAAAGACCCTGGACAATAGTGCTGCTGAAAATATTAGACTAAAATGACTACTGCTTTACCTTTCTCAAACTGGACATATACCAGTGTTCATTATGTCCTCTACAAGAGCATCTTACTCATTTTTCCATGTTAACACCTTGTGTTACTTCCTGGCCCAGCAGAAACATTTTCCACTGAGCATTTGTGAAGTCTCATGATACTGAAAAACAAAACTTCTGTTAAGCCACTCAGCAATATAAAATATGTTTCTGAAGTAAAGAAGTCTAGGCCTCAGATACCTTCAAGAAAAGTGCATCCATTTACTTAACATGTCATTCCTTATTCTGTAATAAATGTGATTCTGTCACACATTTTACTGATTAATCTTATGGTCTTATAAAAAATATTTGCCAGTTCTATTTGTACTAAAAACTACCTAAGCCAAATCCACAACTCTCAGCCAGAAAAATGTAATTGTTAACTGATACAGTCATATGGCTTGTCAATCTTAAATTTATTGGTTTATTATTTTTTTCTCACCAACTCTTTAAAGTGTGAGAAAGAATGTGAGAGAGAAGGTATCAGGTTAAAGCAGTCATTCCACAATGAAAAATAATGCCTCCTAAAAAGAGGCTTGTTTCCTAATCCCTCTGAATATATTTGTTAATATAATTTTAAAAGTACCTTGAATCTCAAGATACCTAAACTTCTATAATTTGTCCCAGAAAGCATACTAATTTTTTGATGATAAATTTTCCAATTGTCAGCTTCAAATCATATGAATTGCTGATCCTTCCCAGTTTACCTGTTAATTAAGGAAATGTATTCAGTGATAATGGAGAGACATTTGAAGAAGGGAGATAATTAAAACTTGTTCTTCTTTTTCTATCTCGTTGCATTTTCCCCACCCTGTTGCTCATTCAAAACTGCTTCCTTGTTTTCAACTCCAAAAGGGCATCTCTTTCTCAAATCTACCTCACTATCCATTGAACAGAATGCATATTTTCCTGCATAATCAATGGATCCCAGAGCATCTCTCTCAGAATTAGTACAGTATTATAACATCATGAAGTCTCAGTAACTGTAATTCTGCCTTTACTGAGCCCTGGACTACCCACACTACATTGTGCTGTAGCTAACTGCAGTAATGTTACCCTTTAAGGGAAAAATACAAAAAATTGTCTTTAGTAGTGTGTTGAAAGAGGAACCTAAGGAACTACCAATTGGACCTTTGTCCTGTCTGAGCTGTGGCAGTTAGCAAAAGAGAAGTAGGCAGGTCACTGACGCTCCTTCCATGTGCAATAGCTAAAATCTCTCCTTGGATGCAAATTCCACTTGTCCACAATAATCTCAAGTGCTGTTGGAAGTGAGTTGAACCAGAAATAGAAAGTAAAAATAGGAATGAGGTAGTCCATCTGCTGAAAATTATATCAATTCTTGAATGAGATAACTCAGACAGAAGAATTATTTATTTATTTATTTATTTATTTTCCTCACATATTTAACTTTTGACTCTGCTGTTCTGTTTGGTTGCATTCTATCCTGTTCAAGGAATGAAAATATTTTCTTCTTTCTGGAAACATGGGCCTGAAGCCCATATGGGCTGCCCCATAGTAATGATTATAATCTTTTTTTTTTTCAAGTTTTTATAGTCTTTGTGCAATGCTTTTATGTTTGATGTGTTGTGACTAGCACGGGTTAAAGCTTAAGCTGTATCCCTGCAATACTCTATCTGTAAGAACAACATTTGCTGTTGATGTATTATAGCTAACCATTTCACATAATGGTGTGACCTACCTTTTACCCAGCACAAATATACGATACACATACCACTCCTGAAAAAAGAAGCATTTTTTCCCCAGTGCTGTAACATAAATGGTCTCCATGTTGTGATGATGGACTAGTCTTCACCTCCTCTGTGTGTGTACGAAAAGCCCTCTCCCCCAAGGCTCTGTTTTGTTTATGCAGTGCAGTGAAAAGCAGGGCTTTTTAGCTGAGGAGCCCTGAAATGCTGGTAGGATTTCTATTGTCCAAATTACTGAAATGGTCTTCTGGGAGATACAGGCCTTTCAGCTTATTCAGAAGAGGAGCACCGTCTAGACATCCAGTGTTACGGCTGATGATCTTTCCAGAGGCAATAGGTTCAAACAGGATTGCAGTACTGTTTGCCTAGGAAAGTCTGGGTTTGTTGAGATCCAGAAATCTGAAACACTAAGTTTCTTCCCCTGGTAGGCATAGGGACTGTGTAAGTGATTGTGTGTTGAGGCATGTGATTTGTTTTCAAACAGCTTAAGTGAACTGTGGAAGTAGGGGTAAATCTTTACAGATATTTTCCTTTAATATATTTGAATGTATATGTAAATATGCAAACCTCAGGAATTTGAGAATCTTTCATTAAAGCAAGTCCTATTAAATATACTCCTCTTTTACCCCTTCATTACTTTTCAGTGTTCTTTTCTATCCCAAGAAGAATACTCTTAATCTCTTGTGGAAACAGTGCTGCAAAGGACAGCAAAGGAAAAACTGGACATCACTGAAGAAGGCAGATGAGGTAATTAGGTCTGGAATAAAAAGTGCATGTTTTGGGTATTACTCTAATGCTTTCACCAGCTACTCTTCCCTCCCACCTGAACTCAGCAAGCCAGTGATGTCTATGCTTGCTTAATTATAAAGCTTCATTATTTCCTATACCACAAAGTCTGCTTTTTGTTTTTATAAGGACTTGGCATAATCCTTTTTTGTAAATGCCAAGAACAATGCCAATTAGCCTGTGGGTAATGGTGATCAATTGTAGCAGAAAGAAGTCAAGTCTGAAGTCATACAGCTGTTTGTGCACGTCCTGCTTTGCCCTGTGCAGATCTGTGCTGAGTTATCCAATGCCTCTATCCTGAACGAGCAATAATCTACCAAACTCTCTATAACTGACCAAAAGGAGAGCATCCAATTATCCTGCAGAATCAGAGGCGTGATATATGCATCTGTATATATAGCCCACATTTTGCAGCCTGGAGACACACAGAGTATCACGCTGTTTTCTACCCTTTTCAGTACTGGCTGGCGTTTTCTGAATGGAAAGTTTAAAATGTGCACTCTTCCAAGCAGGACAACCACAAAGAAGCTTATTACTGCAGCAAGTATTTTTGGAAATAGAGCCCTTCCCTTTCACATTCCTTATGCTAATGTTCTTTAAACACCAGTTTAAATGCATATTGCCACTGGCTCCTTCTCTTAATTAAACTTCCAGCATTTCTAGACCATGTCCTACTCTTCCCTTACCGTGTGCCACACATTCTCGTATCAGACGTTTGTAACCTTACTGGAACAGTCTGCTTGCTCCAGAATTATCTGGCAGTCCTGCATCAGTCTATTTATTCCATCACATGATTGTTTTAGTGTTGTTTGAAGCACTATTTTGGAGCCAGACATAATCATATTATACAGTTCCTCACCTTATTAACTGACAGAGAACTGTTCCCCATTAGACAATTGATCCTGGGCAGATGAAGCCATTAAAAACAGTACTAATTAGCTGAAGAGTGGAGACAGTAATACAGGCTGCATCACTTCCTTTCATGCTTAGGGAAGTTCATGTTCCAGACAAATAATAACTGATATGTAGTCTTCCTTAATTGTGGTTGTTAACAGCCAGTATTATAATGACAGGCTGACAATCTCTGTCTAGCCTATTGTATGTTTATTTCTGAACCCAGGAACCACTGAATAACATTTTTGGTTTAACTCAAACTTCACAGAATATGCTTTAAATGTCAATGTAATGAGAGCTGGGCAGCTAACCTTAACTTATGAGTTATTCCTTACAAGTCTCCAGGTGTCAGCTGTTTGTCTTGGAAGGCTGGGTGCTCATAATTACGAGGAATTATGGCATGATACATTAGAATAAAATAAACATATGATTTGAATGGGAATCCAAAATATATTGTATTAGATCCATAAGCAGGAATGCTAACTAAATTTCAGTGTACCAACTGTAGCCTATAGGGTAAGAAAAGCATATAGTCTTTAAATAAAGTTTTGATTTTCTTCTCAAAATATGTGTTCTACTTTTAAAAATCTACATGCAAGATGCGCATGTATACATATGTGCATGTGGATGCATATGTAATGCCTTTATTACAGGAAGTTGGTAGCACCCTATAATTTGCAAAAAATATGTTTATTATTATCCTCTATCTTCACTCATAGTTGTACACAGTATTTCCTCCCGAGCTAAAAATCCTAGATTCAAGGTGATTTTATTTTTTTTAATTTCCTTCAGGTACTCTTTCAAAATGCTCAGCTGTCCTAAAATTCAACAAGCCAGAAAAAAAATCACAATAAAAGCAGAAAACAGTTGCAGCAAAAAGAATCAACAACTGGAACAGTAAGCAAGAAGCATCTTTAGCTGATTTGATAAAATTGCTTTTGATATTAAACAGTTTTAGCCATTATAAAACTAGATTGACTTCAAGATCTTTTTTCTCCTTTTCCATCAGTTCTTTAAGAGAAAATGAATCAAAAAATATAGAAACCCTACTCCAAGAAAATTAAATGCAATGTAAAAGAGATTAAAAGATGACAGATGCTGAAATTTTAAATATTACAGCTCTGACAATAACTAACTAAACATATTTGGTTTCTCACCATTTTCTTTGTTGTCCCTCTACTTACTGCTCTTCTGTTATCAAAACGTCCTGTATTTTTTGGGTTTGGGGGAGGAAGTTTGTGGCTTCAGAATAGTATTCTGAGTTAGTCAATTCAGATTTTATTGCTGACTGTGAGATCTTCATAGGTCTCTGACAGCCAAATCCCCTTTGCTCTGTTTGGATACTCAGTCCTATTAAAGCCTATCAGTGAAATTCTGGCCACAGTGAAATCAGTGGCAAGACTCCAATTAACTTTAAGGGAATGAGGATTTGTTAAGGGAATGAGGAACCTAAGATTGTATTGGCAGAAATAGCTTAGCAGTGAACAGGGGGAGAATATGTGGGGACAAGAACAATAGGTTATGATACTCTCTTACAACACAGATGGCTGTGATCCACAGAATGGGATGCATCCGGGGTCTTTTTGCCTTTTAGTAATGCAGTCATGCTCACTAAAATGATGAGTCACAGAGACCTGTACTAATTTATCTTTCTTCCTTCTTTGGAGGATGCCACATAGAACTATTTGGAGATAAAATTAGAAGGGTGCCTGTACATGCAGGTAGTCACACATACGTGGCCATAAGAAACAATTCTCTACTGATTTGGGCTCTGATGGGGTCAAAAATCTCTGCTGATTTTGATAGTATTTCTGAGATGTCCTTTGTCCTTCAAATGGGGAAATAGCTCCAGGAATTTGTGCACTGTGTATATTCACATGTAACACACTTTATTTTTGCATGCTAAACACAACTTTCTCAATATTATTTTTTTCTGTTTTATTTATACCATGTAAGTAATTAAAATTAAACCAAATATTATATGGAAAGCTGTTTGCTGGAATTAAATTAGAAGTTGAAGCAATGTCCTGCAAGAGCCTCACAGGCCAGAGCACAGGGACCTTCTGATTCAAGAAAATGGAAGATAATCGAAATCTCACCTGATGTATGTTCAAATTAGGGAATAGTTCTGACTGTTAACTAAAGAGAAAATATGGTGACGAATATAATAATACAAAAACCCTACAGAACTAATGAGTTAAGCTTTATAAGACATGAAAATCCCTCTTCACAAAAAAGGATGAGAAAGCAAGAGAAGATGGTTACTGAGGTACAGGGAAGAGCAGTGTACCTGTCATGCTAAAGAGTTACCTGTGTTCATACTTGTTCATTAGGAACTCATACTACTGTTTTGTCAAATTTTAAAAGGTCCATTTAGAAATTAATAAACCCCATAAAGAATATTTGAGTGTAGTAAGGTCTGTAATACATAAATATCTTTAAACTATTGATGTCCATAAAAATGAAAGCAAAACTAGATGTACGATTTACTGTGAAATATTAATATTAGTAGTAATATTAAATAATAATACAAAGACTTTAGTAAGCTTTCTGGATCAGATACTGTAAGTCATAGTAGCATCATTAAAGTCACAGAAATAATGCTGGTTTATTCCTCTAAAAATTGACCTATTGGCAGAACTTGATCATTAGAAGAAACCTCTGGTATGTTTTAATGTATATTCACCATCCCTTACAATTGTAGTTTCTCTGATAGAAAGATCAGGGAAGAAAAAATGCAGAGAACTGAGTTTTTGCAACTTGAAAAAAAACAGGGGAAATGATGCAATGTAATTAAAATGTTTTCCCAATAACAAGGGTCACAAAAACCTCAGCATTCTGTCTGATACATGGTCTCACTGTCTGGGTCAAACTTCTAGGGATAGTTATTTTTTTGGAGGAAGGTCACTGATTTGACTTTCTCTCAAGATTTTATCACATGTGGTTCTGTGTTGTCTTTTTTTCCTCTTTCACAGTCTTAAGACTTCTATTGTATAATAGTGTCCTTTCTGACCCAAATAATCTGAAATGAATGAACAAAGATAGTTCTGGGAAAAAAAAAAAAAAGACATTTGTCAAAAAAGGTGGTCACTGGATCTAGGCCTTTCACTCGCCCTGTGCTGATGGTGTTGATGGTATTGATGGTGTTTTCAAGCTGTCTGTCTAACTGGTCTAAGTCTTTTAACATGCCATTTCTCACTCTCTATCCTGCACTGTTTCTCCTAGTTGTCATTCAAATTGTTCCACTAAGAGAACAAATAAATGCATGCCATGAAAACTAGCAAGATGATATAATGAATGAGTTACAATAAATGCCCCCAGCATAAAACAATTATGTACCTGCTATTGTCAAAAACATTCAACATTCCCTTTGTTGAAAAGGAAACAGCTATAAATTATTCACTGGGGCACTGAAATTCTTTTCTTTTATTCTTTCTTTTTTTTGTGTGTGGCTTCCAATTAATTGTTCCCTGAACATCCCTAGGTATTTAGCTGAGGGTAAAAATTTACATACAGAGAATTTTAGCTGTTTCTTGGGATTGTCAGGCTGAGTGTCCAAATTAAAAAGAAAAAAAGTTTACCATATTTTCCTGTGTATAATCAGACCTTAGTTATAAAACAAGTCATTCAGGATCAGTACAGGTTATATGTGTCCAGGGGTAAATGTAAGTGGTATTTTAAGCCAGAGCCTCCCTCATTCCCAATAAGTCCCCAACCTCCACTGCCTTCAAGTCTCATTCCCATTTCAGAATTTTCTTCTTCCTGAAGTATGTACCCCAACTGCATGCTATCCTTATTTCCTTAATGACATTTTTGTGGTTTATCAAAGGGTATAGATTTCCTGAAGATTTTCAAGAAGCAGGGATTTTAAAGAGGCTTACTGAAGGTGCAGATTGTACAGTTGTGAAAACAAAAAAGAGAGTTTTTTTATATAAACACCCCCCCAAGTAAGAAGCTTCCTGCCAAACTGCCTTCATGCACTGAGTCCCAAAGTAATGTCAAAATGCAAAGCTGATGTTCTGTCCTGACTCAAGAAGCTGTGGGATTAGGTCCAAATGGAGTCCTTGTTGCTTTTTATTTTCAAAAACATAGACCATCTCAGCAGGGCATCTGGAATAATTTTTTAAAATGATAAAACTTCTTATTTTATTCAGGAATGAAAGTATGCTCATTTTATTGTAAGCAGTATTTAATTTTATTCTAAAGGTGGGTCAAATAAAAGCCCATTGTTCTGAATGGCACTAAAATATGCCAGCAAAAATGTCTCTGGATTTCTGGTGCTGTTAAAGGTCTTGTCCTTGTGCTTAGAGAATAACTTGTCCAAGCAGAAACAGTGATGCCCAGCTGCATATGTAGTTTTTGTAGCTTTCTGGGTGTGAAGGGAAATGTGTTCAAGGTAGGCCATGCAAGCTGACACAAGGGCTGTTGTTCCCTTGGCTCTACCTTTCCAAGACAAAGGACAATGTCTGCCACGTTTGGTGTATGAGTGCAACAGTCGATTTTACAGTCCAGCTGTAATTGTTAGACTGGACTATCTGTGGTAACCTAAGGCTTAAATGAGGAATAACCTCGGTTAAATGCATCTGGAATGTGTGAACCACACCATTAAACTAAGAGCACTGTAGTGGCAGAGAAAAGCTGCAATTACTTCCCAGCAGAATGCAGACTGTTCAAAGTTATATGCTCCTGGTTCACAAGTAACATGTGAGGAAGATGTGAGAGGCACTGGTCATGGAAAAGAAAACCGAAATACTGATTCAGTGTGAAAAAACCTACGGTCATTATGAAGCAATAGTCCAAAATCCCAAGAAAGGGAAGAATAGTACACTTTTTTATTCTATTGAATATATATTGTTTATTTGATATATGCCGATTAGACATATGTTGGTTTGTGGGGAATCAGCATCACTAATGGTTCACTAAAAGGAAATCCTATCCTTTAAACTACCAAAAGCCATCAGACATTATTCAGAGATACATGCCATAAGCCTGGCTCAACAGACACTTCTGTTTTAAGTCCCTTTGTAATCCAGTCCTATTCTATGTGAAACAGATGAAGTAAGAAGAGTACAATCAGTTTATGAAGAAAATTATGTGAGGTGGTTCTTGTGATGCTAGGAGAGTATTCTCAATGACTCAGGAGGTCCCTCCTGGTTTTGAGTCCCTGTAATTAAAGCAGCTCCAAAATCAGTGAAATTTATGGAGAAGATTAGCACGGCTGCATGGCTTTGTTATGCGCTGCTCACTGCCTGCACCAGAAATGTCTTTCACAATTTCAGTCAAAGTTGTTGTTGGGAACAGGACTTTAGCAGAAGTTTTGGATTAAAAGAAAATATTTCTTATATCAATATCCCCATCTGATCCATGAGGACCTCAATCATAAAACTAAATGGCATTAAGTGAGAAAAAAAATAGAGTAGGCTGATGTGTCTCTTTGGTTGCTGTTTGCTTAAAGACACTAAAGAAAGGAAGAAGTACTGATTACATTTACTGTGTGCTGTTGTTTTCTGATGTTCTAACGATCTTAAATATTTGCGGATTTTTGTCTGTTGAAAAGTGCAACATAAAAGGGAATATTTTGTTTAATGAGATTTATAACTAAACAAAAGTTACATTGATAATAAAGCTCCTCCTTAATTTGAAAATGATGTATATGTCCCCTATGAAACTGTCCTGAAAAATCTAAATGCTTAGAAACAGGAAAATAAATTGTTGTAGTTTCCATTTTTTTCCCATGTTCAAGCATATTTGACTTTACTTTACAGATAGTGTTTGAGTGACTAACCTCACATAACAGGAGCTTTCCTCAGTTGTTGGGTGGGGTTGAACTGAACTTTTTGTGTATTCAAGACAGCTCTGGCAGCTTTATACATATTAATTCAAAAGCTGATGCCCTGTTTAGTCA